TGTTTGTTTGGTTTGAGCTCCTATAGCTTAACATGGTCAAGTTAAATGAGAGTCTACTGCAATGAACTATGAAAATGTGTTAGAAGGACACGCACCAAACTGTACAGCTAGGTCACTCAAAAATAGTTAACTCTAGTATCTCTCTAGGTTTTTGCGTACACATGAAATTAATCCATATCAGAGACCTGTAACTGAGAGATTCAGCTCCTACCACGCAAAGGTATTTGAAGAAAGATACGTGTGAGACAAAAGCAAGGTGTAGAATTGTGTGGATAGTAGTCTCCCATTTGCCTCACACATGGTGCACTCTCTCTCATATCCAGAGACTGTCTCTGGAAGAATGTACCAGAAACTGGGGTAACAGTGACATGACTTTGGGAAAGGAACTGGGTGGTATGGGACAAAGGAGGGAGGATTTCTACTTTACACTGTCTAAAACTTTTTGCATTTTGTACTATACATATACGTATTCCTCGATCAAATTTAAATTCTTATAATTAAGAATAAAAGTAAAAAATAGAGAATTACCTAAATGCCTTAATGAAGCCTTTGTAATATTATGATTCAACCGTAATTGGCCTGACATAACTGGATGCAAACGACTTTAATAAAAAAAGAAAACTATAACCCACAGACCTGCTTGCATACCTTGTCTTGACTCTGTACCGCTGGGCAACTATAAATACGTGACTGTTAGTGCCTGGGAAAGGTTTCTGCAGGTTGGATGACAAACAATGAACGACTACAAAATCCAAGCTCCCGCCCCTTCAAAATTCCGCTCCCTCCGAGCAGTCTTTCACGATAAGGCGGAAACATTCACCTGGCTGAGAGAAAAGAAGCTGCGACAGATGCTGCGCGAGCGTCTGAAGGGCCGGGGCTCCTCCCAGGTGGTCGACGTCCAGGAGAGACACAAGGCTCTGCAGACACACGAGGGCTCTACATTGTACGGTGCTCATTCTGGAAAGGAAGTGAGATCATGCTGTCTCTCAGGGTTGCCCATCAGAAGTCAGTACTGACTTTTAACCTAAGCTTCAGCTCCTCACTGGGGATGTCTGTAAACACGAGGGGTCTACGGCAGTTAGCTAAGAATCGCAAGGTGAACTGTTAATCTGCCAAACCAAATTGCTCGAGCATTCGAGGCTTCTGATGCGCAACTCATTCGTGAGTCACAAGGAATCCGTTTTAGAAAAATTTCTACACAAGGTAGCATCTTTGAAATCATTTTTAATTGTGAAATATGGCATATATATGGTAAAGTATACAACACATATATAGAGTTTAACAAACAGTCTATGAAGCAAATATGCACGCCCCTAGGATAAGAAATAAACACTGTCGGCACCCTACAGCCCACGTATCTCTTCCTTACAATGTCCCACTTCCCTGACCCTTAGACGTAACCACTATCCAGACTTTCACAGTAAACATTTCCTGTCTTT